CCCATCGCGGCTCCCCCGTGCTCGCCGACGGCAAGCTCTACCTCTCCGCCACGGACGGCACCGTGTCGGTGGTCAAAGCGGGGCGCGAGTTTGAAGTCCTAGCCAAGAATGAGGTCGACGGCGGACGTCTGGCCGCATCACCGGCGATCTCAAATCAAGTGATTTACCTACGGACCGCCGACGCGCTCTTCGCCATCGGGGCGAAACCGACGCCAACGAAAGATTCTAAACCATAGGTTCTAGGCAATAAGGGTCACGGGTACGAGACCGTATACTTGAGCTGAACGAAATCATTCGGAAATGCGACCGCCCGCGCATTCTCCAATTGGATGTGTTTTTCGGTTTTCCCGAATAGGGGAATTCCGTCGCCCAAGAGAATCGGGGCTCGGGTGATGATCATCTCTTCGATCAGCCCCAAGTTGAGGAACGAGGTGATGATCATGCCACCGTCGACGTAGGCGTGTTGGAAACCTTGGCTCTCCAGTCTTGAGATCAGGTCTGGAATCGACTCAGAGCACATCTCTACCTTATCTTTGAGGTTGCCCGGTGCATCCTTCAATGTTCTGCTGAGCACGAAAATCGGAGTGTCACCATAGGGCCATTGCTCCGGGGTCAGATTGAAGCTGGAAAGCTTTTCCATGCATTTTCGACCCATGATCAAGCAATCCACGGACGCCATGTAGCTGAAAAAGCCCATGTCAGCATGCTCGCCCATGTCGACGCCCTTCTTTCCCGCGATGTCCAACCAGCCGACGTCGCCGTCATGGGTTGCGATATAACCGTCAGAGCTTGTGGCAATGAATACCGAGCATTTCATGTGGTTTTCCCCTTAGGAGCTCCGGCCCCCATCCGGCCCGGCGGCTGGGCCTTACGCAGCACGTAAATATCCATCGCCCAATCCCAATCTCCGTCCACCGGTTCCGACGGTGGGCCTTCATAGTCACCCATCACACCCAGGGTGAGCTCCCCGTCCTCGATTTTGAAGATAGCGACAACGACATTGCCGATGTGCTTCTGTTCTTTCGAGCTGTCTCTGAGGATGGTGGCGTGGAGCTGCTTCGGATCCTTGTCGGCCAACACCGTAAAGCTGGTGTCGTACCAAAAGTCTTCCCTTGCCCGGAAATACAGCGAGTCGCCCGAGATGGTGATCGAGCACTCCC